GGCAGCACAGCTTTATGGGGCAAGAAGGAACGATAAAAGTTCAGTAGCTCCAAGAAAGCCTGTAGCTGCTGCTTGGAAGTGGGCACGATGGATCAAACTTTGTCAGGGGTCAGGTGGATGCCTTCGGCTTCTATGGAGAACCCCAGGAACTCACCTGTGGAACACCGAGAAGGCACTGTTCCCGCTTCACCTTCAGGCTGGCTGACTGGAACCATTGTAGAACAGTGCGCAACCGGCTGACAAAGTCCTCCTCCATGGGGGTGGCGATCAGAACATTATTGAAGAAGGGCTGGACCCTGGGAATTCCTTTTAAGAGAGAGTCCATGAGATTTTGGAAAATTCCCGGGGCCATGCTGACACCAAATTGTAGATGCCGCACTATGAACGCGCCCCTGTGCATGACTATGGCCTGGGTCTCTGCTGTCACATCATCCACTGGGAGTTGCTGGTAGGCCTGGGCCAAGTCCAATTTCCCAAAAATCTTGGTGCCCGCCAAGGAGGCCAAGACGTGGCTGACCACCGGGGCAGGGTAGATGTGGTCCCGCAGCGCCTTATTTATGGTACATTTATAATTTGCACAGATGCAGACGTCCTCGTTGTGCTTAATGGGTGTAACAATTGGGGTTTCCTCGGGGGCATGGCTTCAGTGTGAAGGGGACGCACTATGCCTTAAGCCTTATGGGCCGCACCTCCAGGTTGAGCTGAAGGGAAACAGGGGGTCCAGTGTAGCGATCTTCGTTCCATCAAATATGACTGGGAACTCGTCGCGCACCCGCATTTTGGTGTACCCCCGTGACCCGGAACCCCAATGGCTCGAACAAGGCAAATCCCAATAAACTCATTCGACAGCTTCCCACCACCAGCAAGTCCAAGAGTCCTCCCCACCACAAGCAAGTCTAAGAGTTTCCCACCCCTTTTACAGCCACTTCATTTTGTTGGAAGTCCCGTAGGGTGAAATCAGCCGGGCTGAAGCAGGCCCTCCCTCTAAGGCAGAGTTTACAGAGGGTATCCTATGAAATTATGGAGATGGAGGACCCCATGTCTAGCTCCATCATGCAAGGGGCCCCCTCGATTAGAACAGTCGCTTTAATTTTATCGTGGGTGTCTCGGGGCAAATGCAGTATCTGGTGTGGTTGGATGGCGGTGGTGTGCAGTTCTGTAGCATGTGCTGACTCCCGATGTGCGGATTGTCGTCTCCGGGTTCCCTTGGAATGGCAGGCATGGGTGATGTGGCTGACCTTTCCACAGTTCCGACACATGGTGTCTCGGAAATGGCAAGATTTCCGCTTGTGGGGCTCCCCGCAGCTGGTGCGGGGTATCGAGGTGGATTCGCCATGTGCTAGTTCTGTGGTGGCCTGGTGGATGTATTTTCAGGACCTCCTTGTCCTCGTCAGAGGTGTTCACATGGTGGGCTGCGGTGCTGGGTCTCCATGAAACTGGCGTGCTCTGAGCTTGGCGGACCTCTGCAGTGAACTGGTCGGCAGCTTCGGCAGAGAGGGCTTCTTCCAGCGCAACCTTGAACATGCAGTCCCGCTTGGCAATGAGCCAATGTTGGATCCACTTGTCCCGAAGTTCGCACACCAGCCAGTCACAGACTGCTTCCTCAAGGTTGTGGAAGTTACAGTGTCTAGCAGCACACCGGACGGCCATAACATAGGCCGTGATCTACTCCCCTGTCATCTGGTTCCTCATGTAGAATGTGTGATGGGCCGCAATAATGGAGGGTGTCGGTGCAAAGTGCTCCTTCAGCTGGTCTATAATTGTCTGGTACGGGGCGTTTGGTAGTTCCACCAGTGCTAGCAGCAAGCAAGCAATCTCGAATGTGGAGTGGCCGCAGACCTGGAAGAAAGTGGCATGCTTTTTTGCATTGTCGTTGACATCAGAGGACTTGAGGAAGAACTTGAAGCAGGAAATGTAGGAGTCCCAGTCCTCCGCAGTGGCGTCGAATGCGTCAAAGTGTCCTGGAGCGGCAGCCATAGTCCCGGGTGCAGTGCAATGTGCACGGCACTGGAGCTCGGTGCAGGGTGTAGTCCAGATGGGCTCTAGGCTCACTCAACAGGATTCCACCTTTTTCGCCAGTGTTAAATACTGGGTTCAAGACACATTGCAGTGAACAGCTCTACTTTATTAAGTGATTTCAGGAACAAGACTGAAACCCCAAGGTGACAGCCCTGTTTAAATAGAATGCAACAAACCACACCCAAACACACCCAACTCCAAACTATAGGCTATTTACATAACAGAAGTTCCTCACTGGTCACTTCCAGAGTCCTTGTGGGCTACTGTTCTGGAGCTCCAAGCTCAGCCAGTCTCCCCTATGTATTCCTGATAACACCTTCTTAACTGACACAAATATTGCAATGATGGGATCGCAGCCCCACCCCACCATCTGCCAGGTAAATAAACCCGTTCCTTCCAACTCCTACCAGTATGTTTCAGCCTTGTGAGTGTCAGCTATGCTGCCATGGGGGTGGGGGTGGGGTTCATTCTCTTCTAATTGCTTTTGCATTCTTCCTGTGCTGCTATGAAGCTTATCTCTAAGTATTGCAGGTGGTGATGTTGATGTCTGATTTTCTTGGGAACCGTTTTGTTTTCAACTTCAGCACTAAATGGCCGAAGCTCTATCTCCCGCGCGTGGGAGGATGGCTAATTGGCCAGGCCAGTGGGTGTGTGTGTGTGCATACGAATTCCCTTTATCCTCTTATGGCCCATGGGCAGCCGTCATTCTTAACAGTGCCGATGTTAATGCATCTATAGCTCTTCAATAAAGTATTACCTTTCATGAAAGCGTGTACTACGTTGTTGGCTGTGGGTTCTGACAGTGAGCTACATACATTTCGATCTTGTGATGATGATGCGAAGGGCACCTCCTTGGAATTAACTTCATTGAAATCCGTGGTATTAACAATATGTGTAGGATGGTGTTAACAATGTGTAGGATGGTGTGACAGATCAGATACAATCATCAACTATTAGATCCTTCTAACAGCCTTGGGAGGTTGTTTAGGATTGCACCATGAAACACCCCAAAGGGCTGGTGGACCCTCCGAGAGGACACGCCCTTTACTTTCCCCCTGCTCTGAATCATACCAATTCTTTGTTTATTCTGTCTTGTTTTGCAAAACTAAAGCAACCTCATAGTTGTGGGAAGAATTTTGGCTATTAAGCCTATTCATTGTGCATTACCCACGTAAGCGTCTTATTATAAACTCTCCCTTGCAAACAAATGAAGAGGCTGCAAACGGCAGGTCATACCTGGAAATCTCATTACTGAGGCCCTCCTCCTCACGCCATAATCTTCCCCCTAACAAGAATTCCCTGGCAAAGTGAACCGTGGCTCAAGAAAACTCATATTGAAATAAATGATGTGGATCTTTAAGACGCCCCGGGACTTCTGTTTTGCTAGACAAACCAACAGGGCTACCCCCTTTGCAATCATGTTGAATCACAATCCCAGGAAAACCAAGCACCAGCCCAACGAGAAGAGAGAGAACCACCAGCCATCCCAAGAACTATTACAAGAAAAGAAAGAAAAGGTTCCAATTGTTAGGAGAAGGGGGCGAGGAGGCAAGGGCTGTGTCATCCGAAGTAGGGCGATTGCAGCCAATGAACAGCAGGCAGCAGTTGGTCAGAAAAGTGGAGCCGGGGTATTTTCTTTCCCACTTCTTTACAAGTATTTATTTATTTATTTATTTTTAGATTTATACCCCGCCCTCCCCGCAAGCGGTAGACACCACCCCCCTTCTGCTTTCTGATTGAAAACGTCTCTGCTGTCCAAAAAACGGAGTATACGTTTTAAACGCTTAAAAAGACACAGGCATATATAGATCTCGGACAGCTGTAGGTATTTCTAGGTTCCCTGCCCGGCCGTTTCATCATCAAAATCACCTTCTTGCCACCCACCATTCAACCCGTCGCTTCCGGGTTTTTAGTTACTTAAAGAGGGGCGACTAGCAAAAGGGTTGCTTTGGTGTTTCTAGAACCAGAGTCGATAGACCTTCGGAGTCCGACCCAATTTGCTCCATAATAACCTTTCCATAAACACAGCAAGTACTGTTGACTAGTCTTGTTGACACATAAGGGGCTCTCTTCACTGGGATGTTCTGATGCGCAAGCGCCACTGAAATGAATGGGATCGGCGCCAAATGTTGTTGCTCCCACATAGCGCCATTCATTTCACTGCGGACTGCGCAGAAGGACTTCCAGACAGAAGTGGCATATGCTAAACCGCTTTGGCCTGCGATCCTAAATCATCCCTCCCGAAAAGTCAGTGTCCTTCTGGAGATCTGCACTAGAACTCAGTGTAACACACACACACACACACACACACAGCATCCAGCGGCCACCGGGTTTGGATCGTACCCGCAATCCCGAGTAGCGTGCCGTTTTCTTCCCCCAAATATACCCCAACCCCTCACACACACACGCTATTTGATCCGTGGCGCGGCTGGAAACCCACAGACACCGGGGAGGCAGAAGAGGGCACAGTACTGTCCCTACAAGGCACCTGTTGCAGCGTGTCCCTCTTCGAAGCTCTGAGGTGTCAAGACTACCGATGCTCGCACATCCCCGTGAATTGAGCGGGGTCTCTTCCCAGGAAACCTACTTAGGATCTGGCTGCCCTTTCGAAAGGCCTCTTCTTCCTGACCTCGTTTGGAAAACGACAAACAGCCATCGCTCCCGTCTCCCTGGTTTTGGCTTTTTCTTAAGACGGGCACCCTCCGTGTCAGCCGAAGGGCTGCGTTTCTTGGGACAGCGGTGTGTTTGTGTGGAGGTCGCCAGCGCAGGAGCCTGGCGGGGAGGGGGTGATTTCAGGTGGGTAGGCAGGCGCTGCACCAATTAGGAGGGTGGCGCCAGGCCTTGATCTATAAAAGGCAAGCCGGCAGCTCAAGACCTGGCGATCCCCGGGGGAGCTGTCTCGTTTCATCCGCTTTCCCCTCCCGGGGCTTGCCTTGTATATGAATCTGACCGAGTTCTCCTTTTTCTCGGGTATGTGCACCATGACAGCCGATTCTCTTCACTCGCCTAGCCCAGGGGCCAGCCCGGCCTCCCCCGACCTGCACGGGGCTTCCCCGTCGGGCTGCAAGGTGGAGCCGCTGTTGATCAAAGCCGAGCCCAGGGGCAGTCCGGCGGAGGCAGGAGGCGGGGAGCCGCTGACAGAGGAGCAGCTGCCCTGCTCCGGTGTGAGTGGCGGCGGCGGCGGCGGGGGCCGTCGGAGGAAGCGGCCGGTGCAGCGCGGCAAGCCCCCGTATTCGTACATCGCGCTGATCGCCATGGCCATCGCCAACGCGCCGGAGCGCCGGCTGACGCTGGGGGGCATCTACAAGTTCATCACGGAGCGCTTCCCCTTCTACCGCGAGAACCCCAAGAAGTGGCAGAACTCCATCCGCCACAACCTGACGCTCAACGACTGCTTCGTCAAGGTGCCCCGCGAGGCCGGCAGCCCCGGCAAGGGCAACTACTGGAGCCTCCACCCGGCCTCGCGGGACATGTTCCACGACGGCAGCTTCCTCCAAGTCGCCCGAGCGGGCCCTTGCAACGGCTCCGGAGGGGTCGCTTATCCGGGCGGCGGCGGCGGCGGCGGCCCCCTCTACTCGCCCGGCGGCACCTACGGGGCGCAACTGCCCAGCCTGTCCCAGTACCCGGGGGCGCCCCCTGCGCTGCAGCCCCGCATGTTCAGCATCGACAGCCTGATCAGCTCGCAGCAGCAGCAGCAGCAAGCCGCGGCTCTCCAGGCTTCCCCGGTGGGAGCCGAGTTGGCCCATCACGCCTTGGGCCTCAACAGCGGCGGCTGTCCCGTAGGCAACCCCGAGGCCTGCTTCCAGACCCAGCAAGTCAGCCCCGGCTTGACGGGCCGGCAACCCCCTGCCTTGGCCTACCCGTACTCGGCCTCCCCACCCGGCCATCTCGGAGTGCCGCCAGGCGCCTATTCCTCTCCGAACGCGCAGCTCTACGGAGCGCCCAACAGGTTGGCCCTGCCGCCGGGCCGCCCTGCCTCTTCCTGCGCCGACCACGCGGAACAACTGCTGGGCCTCACCGCCTCCCAGCTCAACGGGCTCGGGCAGTTCGGAGGCGCCAATAACTCTTACATGAGGCAGCCCAACTTTCCCTCTGGCCTGGAAAGATACTTGTGAAGTAGAGGAGGAAGCTTGGCTTTGTGGCCGGCGCGACGGCCAAAGCCAAACATGACTCTTGGAACCTTTTTTTAAAAAAAAAATAGGAAGCTCACCCCGAGTACTTGAATGGGGCTCCTTTGGTAGTACTGTGCACGTGTAGCGTTCCTTCTCAAAGGGATGCCTTGATCCTCGAGAATTGCATATGGAGTTTAGGGGTGCCACCTTTTATGAGCTGAGGTTTGGTGCCTTTAACAACAGTGTGAGCCTCTGGGCAAAATTTCATGTGTATGATACACTTGCAGAGTACATTGGAGGGTGAGCTACCCTATAAACTCAGGCACAGTGCCTTTCAAAGGGTGTGCTACCCTATAAACACAGTCACAGTGCCTTTGATTAAAGTGTTATTTGGTGTCTTGCACAGAATGGGAGATGCAGAGCAGGTTAAAAGTAATGCATTGAATTAACCCAGGTGCTGTTTAAGATGCATAAGCATTTTGTTTTTGGGGCACATAATTGCAAAATGGATCAATTGGAAGCAAGTTGTAGGCAGGAGATCTGAGGTGCAATTTAGAAACAGCAGACTTGCCACCTCTGACTTATGGCCTCTTGCAGCCAGGGTGGGGTGGAATGGGAGGGGGCCAGTATAGCCTAAAAAAACCTGGTACAAAGGCCAGTCCTGCATTTTTATTATAATGTTTGTGCCTGAAGGGATCCCCCTGTAAGTAGTATGATCTTTACTGGGCTTCAACTGCCTTGAAGACACCTGGAAGGTGAGTGATGATACCTGGTTATGTGATACCTCAAGTCTTTTTAAATTACAAATTCCATTGTGCTTTATTTTGGCTCTGTACATTTGTGATGTACCTACAAGTTTTTAAAGCGGGCATGTTTACCCAGCTGGTAGAGCCAATAACTGACCATCATTTTTACTGGCCACACATCTCCTGTCCTGCACATGCTTCACTGAATAGTCAAATGTACAAAACACTTCAGGTGTACCACAGTATTCCTTTGTGGTATCATGGCTTATGTAAGATAGTGATTTGCATTATACAGAGCAAAATGTCCATAATGTGTGAAGTAATGCACAATACGTGTACTATACAGTGTTGCTCACTGGGTTGTTCTTACCATGTAACACAATATGTTGTTATAAATTCTACGGTGTATATAGTGCATATTGCATATATAATACTCATACTATTTGTAGTGCGTTACGCACAATAGTGCCTTTTGAATAATGCACACTAGTACATTGCATAGATTAAGAGATATTCAGGAATTCCTTGTTGGGTTGATAAACTGTAACCAAATATATTGGGGTGATACAATTTAGTTTAAACCAGAGTACGTGGATTTAGGATGCAATTTCAAATATCTGCTTGAAAGTAAATCATTGGGATTTAACTGATTCCATTGCTTTCATGGTAATTGTTCTTCCATAGTTTGGGGATTATGTCCCACATTGTCTTAATCCAAGTACTTAATTCTAACTGGACTATGAATTAGGCTGTAATGTTTACAACCTATATTGTGATAGGAATTTTGATGATAACACACTAAGGCTGCGGTCAAACACACTAAATCTACTTTCAGTGCACTTTCCTACTGGATGGTCAAACACACTAAATCTACTTTCAATGCACTTTCCTACTGGATCTTACTAGCTCACACAGTAAAATCCAGTTGGAAAGTCTTACTAGTTCACACAGTAAAATCCAGTTGGGAAATGCACTGAAAGTGGATTATTTAATGTGTGTGTGACTGCAACCTAAGGGAACAATGCTGAAACGGTCTATTTAGAAGACAGTTCTATTTTATTCAGTGGGGTTTACTCAGAGGAAAGTGTTTTTAGGATTGTAGCCTTGCTCTCACTGAGGTGGTAAACCTGTGTCTGGACTGTATCACTTCAGGCTGCAGGCGGGGGTTTCACATGACCGAATGTTCCTTGGCACACACACTTGTGCATGCACACACACAGTTTCTCTAGAAAGAAAAAATAGCACATTAGGAAGGCTAGATAGAGCCTTTCTCTCTGACCGTCACAGCTTGAGCCTATGCATATTTACTCAGGAGTAAGCCTCATTAAGTTCAGGCATTTCCAGTTCTGGAAGAGTGGTCAGTCATGCGATCCTCCACCTGCAGTCTAAAGTGGTACAAGGCACAAGTTTGCCATCTCTGTGAAAACCCAGACTTTGCTGTATGTATTAAACAAAACAGTGTATTTTGTGCTCATTGGACAAATTCTTTTTACTGTTTTTTTACTTTAGTAAGAAAATTAATATTCCCTTAAGACATTCTTAATTCTTCTAGTTTTCTGAAATATTAAATATACAATTTTTACTATCTGCTTTAGTATTAAAAAAAGAGGGGGGGAATCAAATAGAGTCCTTTATTGTTATTTGTAATAATGGGCAGCACAGTCCAGATGAAATCAAACACATCTCATAAATGGAAGGTTAAGCATGTGCTTTGCTTCCATCATTGGGAACCAGTAGCCTTTAAAAGTGCTTTATGATCATGCCTTAGGTACTGTCCAGTATTTTCTGATGCCAAAAGAGAGGGCAATTTAAGTAACTGCGGGTGGGGGTTTTGTCATTTGCTGTTCCTTCTAAATCAAGATAATATAAAAGGCAGCTCTGTCCAGCAACATATCACCACATTCACAGTTCAGAAATCTGAGTGGTTTCTGAGTGCTAGGAAGACATACTGGAAGATGGGCAGCCAAATGAAATATGTGAAACTATCCGGCATTGTTTTGTGCGCTGATTTTGATGCAGCTGTAATTTGGTCAAGTTGCTGAAGTGAATAGCATCTTAATCCAGTGTGTATTTACATGGAAGGGAAAGTCACTGAATTCAGGGGGACAGTCCTCAGTACATGGCTCTTTATGGCCTTGGTCCTGTGGCACACTTATTTGAGATATTGGCTCATCTGTGTATACAGCAAAATGTGGTGGAAATTAATTAGTAGAGTTTTGAGGTGTTAGCTAGACTATACCAAAATGGGCTACAGGCTTCCTCTGTATATAAATCTCCCTGTAAGTAGAAAATTATCACAGCAAGGTGTAGGCTGCGTTGTTCTCCCCGATAGGCTAGTCTTTCATTTGAGGGGATTGTTTCATGTATTCAAAAGAATCTGCAGCCCAAAGTTGAATCGGGCATTCTACAAACAGGCTTCTACCACGTAAGTTCCATTAAACTCAGTGGAGCTGAGAACGAACACCCAGGACAGTACTTAAAAGTTTTTTCTTTACTAGCCCAATTCAGAAAACCCATCACATGATTGCTCTTCATCCAGGTTCTTGTGACTAGTATCCCAACCCATAACTGAATGAAAGAATTTTGGCAAAACTGTAAATAAAGAATTCATCAAAGTAAAAATAACTGGATATGACTGTTTGCCTACAGTTCTCTTCCATGGAACAAAAATTCTCTCTGGTACATCATAATTTCTTGGGTTGTGGATCAGTCTACAGAGTGTGATAAGTTAGGACATCGCACTTTTTCCTCCTCAGTCCTAAGAAAAATATTGAATCCATGGATAGATCACAAATGGTCAAGAAATTAGCATAAAGATGGAGATCTGGCAACTGCCCTATGGACTGCCTTGGAGTTGCAGTGTTGGGGAAAACAGAGTGTAGCCTTTGTCCTGAGGAGTCCAATGTTTTGGAATGTGACATTCCTTTGAAAACAAGAAAATTATGCAAGCTTTGTGTGACTGCTCCTCTAGACTGGACGTAAATCTTGATAGAAGAACCCTCACCCCTCATTCTTTTTCAGATGTTGTTTTCATCAGGGTCTAAGAGGGAAACAGTAATCCTTTTCTTTTAAAAAGTCATTAGATCTAACCCATGTATCACCACTGTGTTGGTTTAAGGATATGAGAGGGGGAATGGCAGAATTAGCAAATCTGGGGGGGGGGGCAGGAGTTGAGGGTAGATAAGATGGGTATTTTTCCGAAGACGAAATACCTGAAAGATCCAGCAGCAAATGTTCAGATGTAAGATTTTAGTCGTGGTTTCTTATATCTCCTTTAGCTCCAACGCTATAGATGAATTGCATACTGTTTTCAGAGATAGAAATATCTGCCAGGAAGTTATCTATAGCCAAACCAGTGTGGCATATGCCTCTGTTTGGAAAATGGTGATTAGGTTATTCGATCCCTTTCCACTTCTTTATTTGTTGGAAAAAATCTTGGAAGCAGGGCCTGTCTGGGAACCTCTCAAATGGCTCTTGAAGATCTTTCCAGTTTTTAGTTTCAGTTGAAGTATGCCTGGAGCCAGATGGGTTCAGGTTGTCTGAAGAGCTGCCTTATCGCTTTCTGGTGTCTTCTAGTTGGCTCTTAATTTGTGCACTTGAAGTTGTCTTTGAAAGCTCTTTGCTTTTAGTGGCTACAGAATTTTTCAGTGTTTTGTTTTTAACACTGTATATACCTATGTATACATGTATATGTCATTTTCTTGGCAGGATGCTTGTTAAAAATATATAACCAGCAACTTTCTTGATTCTCATGTAAGTCCTTCTATGGAGATAGCTTTGATTATAGGTCATAAAACAATTAAATCATTTTAGTTATGTTTACTTAATTTAGTCATGTAGATACAGTGGAATTAATCTGGTTTAAGGACAAATACATTTGAGGACTGTAACCTTTGGCATTCTGCTCAATAGAAATGAGAACCGGAAACTGCTTTAGATAATTCAAGGTTTAGGGACATAGCCTAAGCAGGACTACTTAAAAGTAAGATCTGTTTTAATCAGTGTGGTTTAGACCCAGGAAAGCATTCTTAGGATTTCAGTGAAGCAATGAATGTGCATGGTACCTAATATTTACTTGGCTCTATTCACAATCTGACAGTATTCAGAAAGATAGAGGCATACACAGTAGGATTTGAAGTGATTCAAATTCATTGGAATGACTGGAGTAATGTACTGCTGATTTCAGATGAACTTTGGGTAAGAAGACCTCAGGGTAGAAACAGAATTGGGTAAAGGTGTAATTTTTTTCCTTTGAAC